CATCATCATCATCATCATCATCATCATCATCATCATCATCATCATCATCATCATCATTATCTTCATCTTCATCATCATCATCATCATCATCGTCATCATCATCATCATCATCATCATCATCATCATCATCATCATTCTAATCACCGTCGTCAGCATCATCGTTATCGTGGTCTTCAATCGTCGTCCGTAGCTGTCGGTCGCCGTCGGATGGTCGGTCGGTCGGTCGGTCGCTCCGTCAGTCGTCGTCGTTGTCGTCAGCGTCGCCATCATCATCATCACCACCATCATCATCATCATCATCATCATCATCATCATCATCATCATCATGATCATCATCATCATCATCAGCATCATCATCATGACCATCATCATTATCATCATCATCACCACCACCACAATTTACCTCTTAAATCCTTGTCATCGTCCTCATCTTTCTCCACATTCTCCCCGTTTCTCCTTCTGCCTGCCCTTCTCATCCTCCTCAGCATCATTCCTCCACATCCTCCTCATCATCCTCCACTTTCCTGTTCGCCAATCCATCCCCCTCCTTCTCCCCAATCCATCCCTCCACCCGCTCGCTCCTCCCATCCATCCATACTTCCTCCTCCTCCTCCTCGGCCTTCTCTGCCTCCTCCTCCTCTTCCGCCTCCGCCTCCGCCTCCCCTTCCTCCTCATCCTCCTCCTCCTCATGCTCATCCTCCTCCTCCTCCCCCATTCCTTTCTTGGGAAATTTTCTCTGTCGCACCCCAAGACGTGTTGGTAGAGCTAGCGGGGCGTTACGCCTGAGACTTCGAAGCTCGAAAAGTACAACAGCTTTAGAGATGGAGGGCGGGCCATTTTCAAAATGTGGCCCTCGCCCTAGCGCCGCGCACATGTGACTAACACGTTGCAACAATTTCGCAAGTGAAGGGCGGATTTCGCCCTAGCGCCGCGCACATTCGTCTTACAAGTCTGCAGCCTTTTCAATGATTCGTATGGGTGAAGTTCCAGGAATGGCTTTCTGGCACGGCTGAGGACTGTCAGGACACAACGGTCACGTTCATTCGCTACGTTGACGTCCCAGGAATAGCGTACTGGCACGATTAGGGTTGTCAGGATGCAATAGTCACGTTGGTTCGCGGCGCTGCAGTCCCAGGAATTGTGTTCTGACACGGTTGGGATGTTTCAAACGGTTGTCTTCGAATGGGGCATTTTTTGCAATGAGAGTGGATTCTTGTAGGGACATGAAAATTAGCCTCGCGAAGGAAACCATATGCAGCTGTGAGTGCCGCAGTCGTTACTATCATGTTCGATGGGGCTCCCTGTGGGGCCACGATCATCGTGAGGGGTGCGCCGACGTGGGGCGGGGCCGCCATGCGAACTTTTCCACTGGGGCCTTCGGTGAAGCTCCCTATGTGGCCACGATCCTCGTGAGGGGTGCGCCGAACTGGCCCGAGGCCGCCATGCGAACTTTCCCACTGGGGCCTTCGGTGGAGCTCCCTATGGGGCCACGATCCTCGTGAGGGGTGCGCCGAACTGGCCCGAGGCCGCCATGCGAACTTTCCCTCTGGGGCCTTAGGTGGAGCTCCCTATGGGGCCGCGAAACATCTGATGGGTGTGCCGAAATGAGGCGGGGCCGCCATGCGAACTTTCCCAGTGGGGCCTTCGGTGGGGCTCCCTATGTGGCCACGAAGCGTGTGAGAGGTCTGCCGAAATGGGTGCGGTGCGGGGGAGGAGGGAGAAGAGGAATGAGGAGAGGAAAGAGACGCGGAGCACTGTCTCTTCATTATCCTGGCGACGGACCCAAGCATATGCAGTTGTGAGTATCGCTATTGCGAATATCTTCTTCGGTGACGCTCCCTACGGGGTCACGAACCCACGAACCGTATGAGGGGTGTGCCGAATTCCGTGGATGGGTACACAACGCGAAGGAAGACGATAGGTCTCAGTACCAGAGACTGAGTGCGGGTGAGTCTGAGCGCGAGTGAGCATGAGTGTGAATGAATATGCGTGCGAGTGAGTATATCTGCATGAATGAGATCATGGCTGCGCCAAATGTAAGTGTAGATGAATGTGAATGGTTCGGGTATGCCTGACTCTGAACAGTCGTGACACTGAGCGAGGCCGCCGCAGGGAGCTTCCCCGGGAACCCCGACGGCAGCGCCGCACGCCGCGACGCCCATGTCGGCACGCCCCTCACGAGGATCGCGCCCGCTTCCTTCCCCTCCTTTCCTCGCTCTTTGCCCGCGCACTCCAAAGTCCGAGGCTGCGGGCGCAGCGCAGCGCGGAGTCCCCGCGACGCGCGCCGGTCGTTCCGGAAGGGTCCCAGAAACGCGCGCGGGTCGTCCGTTGCGCAGAGCAAAGAGAGCTGGCTGGCAGGCTGTTTACGGGCAAGGCTCTGGCCGTTGGGCAGAGCGACGACGGGCGAGCGAGGCGCTGGGCAGGGCCGCCATGCGAACCCTGCCACTGGCGCCTTCGGTGGAGCTCCTCGTGGGGCAACGATCTTCGTTAGGGGTGCGCCGAAATGGGGCGGGGCCGCCATGAGAACCCTGCGAGTGGGGCTTTCGGTGGAGCTCCCTATGGTGCCACGAACCGCGTGAGGGGTGTGCCGAAATGCGGCGGGGACGCCATGCGAACCGTGCCATTGGCGCATTCGGCGGAGCTTCCCACGGGGCCACGAGCCGTGTGAGGGATGCGCCGAAAGGGGCCGGGGCCGCCATGCGAACCCTGCCACTGGCGCCTTCGGTGGAGCTCCCTATGGGGCCACTTTGAGCATTAGCTCGAGCTCTTTATGGGGCCACGAAACGTGTGAGGTCTGTGCCGAAATGGAGCGGGGCCGCCGTGCGAACTTTCCCTTTGGGGCCTTAGGTGGAGTTCCCTATGGGACCACGAGCCGTGTGAGGGGTGCGCCGAAACGGGTATGCGAACTTTGCCAGTGTGGTCTTCGGTGGAGCTCCCTATGGGGCCACGGTCCTCGTGAGGGGTGCGCTGGGCTGGCCCGAAGCCGCCATGCGACTTTCCAGGGTGCGCCGAATTGGCCCGAGGCCGCCATGCGAACTTTCCATCTGGGGCCTTAGGTGGAACTCCCTATGGGGCCGCGAAACATCTGAGGGGTGTGCCGAAATGAGGCGGGGCCGCCATGCGAACTTTCCCAGTGGGGCCTTAGATGGAGCTCCCACTGGGGCCACGAAGCGTGTGAGGGCTGTGCCGACATCGGGCGGAGCCGTCATGCGAACTGTCCCTCTGGGGCCTTAGGTGGAGCTCCTTATGGGGCCACGAAGCGTGTGAGGGGTGTTCCGAAAGTGGTGATGGCGGTGATGATGATGCTGAGGATGATGAAGATGAGGATGATGATGACGATGATGATAGTAATGATGATGATGATAATGACGATGGCCACGATGATTATTATTGAATATGATAATGCTGACGTTGATGAGGTTGGTTACGATAGTGATGATGGCGATGGCGATCCGGATGACGATGCTGATCATGACGGTGATGCTGGTGACGACGGCAAGGATGACGACGATGATGATAATGATAATGAGGTTGAGGAGGAGGAGGGAGAGGTGGATACTGTCGCCGGTAACGACGAGGATGACTAGGATGGTGATGACGCTAACGGTGCTGATGCTGCTCATGAGGATGCTGATGATGATGAAGATGAGGATGACGCTGCTGCTGATGATGATGTTTTGCATCATGCTGATGAGGAGGAGGATTGTGATGCTGCGGTTGTTTCTGCTGCTGATGATGATCATGACAATGGTGATGATGCTGATGATGATGCTGATGACGACGATGGTGATACCGATGATTGTGATGCTGATGATGATGATGATGATGATAATAACGATGGTGCTGATGATGATTAGGTTAATGATGCTGATGAGGATGCTGATTCTGAGGGTGATGATGCTGATGATGCTGGTGATGATGATGCTTTTAATGATGATGTTTCTGATGATGATGCTGATGGCAACGCCCATGATCAGGATGATGCTGCTGCTGATGATGATGTTGATGATGACGATGTTGCTGATGACGATGATGAAAATCATGAAGATGCAGCTGATGATGATGCTGCTGCTAATGATGCTGCTGCTAACGATGATGCTGCTGATTATGATGATGATGCTGATGATGATGCTGAATCTGATGATGAGGATGATGATGATGATGATGATGGTAATGCTGCTGCTGATGATGATGATACTGACGACGATGCGGATGCCGATGACGATGACCACGATGATGATGATGACGATGATGGTGGAGGTTGTTGTGGTGGTGGTGATGGTGATGACGATGCTGACGATGGTGATGATGATGCTGATGCTGATGCTGATGCTGATGCTGATGCTGATGCTGCTGATGGTGATTATGTTGGTGATGCTGATGCTGCTGATGATAATGCTGCTGCTGATGATGATGATGATGAGATGTTTTACCCGTAATGTCATTATGGTGGTGCTGGTTGTGTTGGTGACGATGACGGCCCTTGTCATGACTATGCTGCTGCTGCTGATGATGATGCTGCAAATGATGATGCTGATGCTGATGATGCTGCTGATGATGATGATGATGATGATGACGATGATGATGATGATGATGATGATGATGATGATGATGATGATGATGATGATGACTACAATTGTGATGCTGGTGATGATGGTGGTGATGGGTGATGGTGACGACGCTTAGGCGGCTGCTGCTGCTGATGACGGTGATGACCATGGGAAGGAGCAGGAGATGGGACGGAGGAGGAGGACGAGGTGTTTGGATGAGGATGAGGAGGACTAGGACGAGGTGGAGGAGGAGAAGGAGGAGGATGAGGAGGATGATGAGGAGGAGGAGCGAGGGAGGAGGGAGGAGCGAAGGGGAGGAAGGAGGATGAGGGATAGGATCGGCACTGATATTGGGTCAGCATAGTCCGTGCAACGTAAAAAGGAGAACGAGGAGGACGAGGACGACCCCCACGCGGCGACGCTGCCGATGGGGCAAAGCCGGGCTCCCAGCCAGCTTCTCCTGTCGCCTTGCCGCCGTACCAGGCGGGGTGGGTCGCTGAACCCGCTGGTTGGCTCCAGCGTCCTCAGGGGGTGGAATCAGAGAGAAGAGGAGGATAACGAGGAAGGAGCAAGGAGCGAGCAGGATGAGGATGAGGGTGAGGGTGATGATGACAATGCTGCTGCTGATAATGATGATGATGATGATGATGATGATGATGATGCTGATGATGCTGATGCTGATGCTGATGCTGATGCTGATGATTATAATGTTGCGGTCGTTGATTTTATTGTTTTTGTTGTTGTGGTTTTGGTTGTGGTTGCGGTCGCGGTTGTGGTTGTTGTGGTTGTTGTTGTTGTGGTTGTTGTGGTTGTTGTTATTGTGGTTGTTTTTGTTGTTGATGTTGTTGTTGTCATTGCTTTTGTTGTAATTGTTGTCATCGTTGTCGTCGTCGTTGTTGTTGTCGTTGTTGATGATGATCATCTTTACTTTTTTAGAATTGAATAATTATTATTGTTGATCCCCCCCTGAGGTAACCATTGTGTTTTCAAATTGAAGCGCTTCCACTGGGGCTCGCACCCTGTTTTTCCCAACAATCCTGTAGTGTTGGGTCCTCGTTTTGAAGAGACGGTCCCCGCGTTCCTCTCCTCCTCCTCCTCCTCCTCCTCCTCGTCCTCCCCTTCACCTTGGCACACACCTCACACGTTTCGTGGCCCCACAGGGAGCTCCACCGAAGGCCCCAGTGCCACCGCCCGCATGCGTCACGCACACCCGTTTCGGCACACCCCTCACACGTTTCGTGGCCCCCATTGGGAGCTCCGCCGAAGGCCCCAGTGCCACCGCCCGCATGCGTCACGCACACCCATTCCGGCACACCCCTCACACGTTTCGAGTCCCTACAGGGAGCTCCACCGAAGGCCCCAGTGCCACCGCCCGCATGCGTCACGCACACCCATTCCGGCACAAGGCCTCACACGTTTCGTGTCCCCACGGGGAGCTCCACCGAATGCCCCAGCGCCACCGCCGGCATGCGTCACGCACACTCATTTCGGCAGACCCCTCACACACTTCGCGGCCCCATAGGGAGCTCCACCGAAGGCGCCAGTGCCACCGCCCGCATGCGTCACGCACACCCATGTCGGCACACCCCTCACACGTTTCGAGTCCCTACAGGGAGCTCCACCGAAGGCCCCAGTGCCATCGCCCGCATGCGTCACGCACACCCATTCCGGCGCAAGCCCTCACACGTTTCGTGTCCCCACGGGGAGCTCCACCGAATGCCCCAGCGCCACCGCCGGCATGCGTCACGCACACTCATTTCGGCAGACCCCTCACACACTTCGCGGCCCCATAGGGAGCTCCACCGAAGGCGCCAGTGCCACCGCCCGCATGCGTCACGCACACCCATGTCGGCACACCCCTCACACGTTTCGAGTCCCTACAGGGAGCTCCACCGAAGGCCCCAGTGCCACCGCCCGCATGCGTCACGCACACCCATTCCGGCACAAGTCCTCACACGTTTCGTGTCCCCACAGGGAGCTCCACCGAAGGACCCAGTGCCACCGCCCGCATGCGTTACGCACACCCTTTCCGGCACAAGCCTTCACACGTTTCGTGACCCCACAGAGAGCTCCACCGAAGGCCTCAGTGCCACCGCCCGCATGCGTCACGCACACCCATTTCGGCACACCCCTCACACGTTTCGTGGCTCCATTGGGGAGCTTCACCGAAGGCCCCAGTGCCAGCCCGCGTGCGTCACGCACACTCATTTACACACCTCACACGTTTCGTGGCCGCATAGGGAGCTCCATCGAAGGCCCCAGTGCCACCGCCCGCATGTGTCACTCACATCCATTCCAGCACACCCCTCACACGTTTCGTGGCCCCACAGAGAGCTCCACCGAAGGCCCCAGTGCTACCGCCCGCATGCGTCACGCACACCCATTGCGGCATACCCCTCACACGTTTCGTGGCCCCATAGGGAGCTCCACCGAAGGACCCAGTGCCACCGCCCGCATGCGTCACGCACACCCATTCCGGCACACCCCTCACACGTTTCGTGGCCCCACAGGGAGCTCCACCGAATGCCCCAGTGCCACCGCCCGCATGCGTCACGCACACCCATTTCGGCACACCCCTCACACGTTTAGTGGCCCCCATTGGGAGCTCCACCGAAGGCCCCAGTGCCACCGCCCGCATGCGTCACGCACACCCATGTCGGCACACCCCTCATACGTTTCGAGTCCCTACAGGGAGCTCCACCGAAGGCCCCAGTGCCACCGCCCGCATGCGTCACGCACACCCATTCCGGCACAAGTCCTCACACGTTTCGTATCCCCACAGAGAGCTCCACCGAAGGACCCAGTGCCACCGCCCGCATGCGTCACGCACACCCATTCCGGCACAAGCCCTCACACGTTTCGTGTCCCCACAGGGAGCTCCACCGAAGGCCTCAGTGCCACCGCCCGCATGCGTCACGCACACCCATGTCGGCACACCCCTCACACGTTTCGAGTCCCTACAGGGAGCTTCACCGAAGGCCCCAGTGCCACCGCCCGCATGCGTCACGCACACCCATTCCGGCACAAGTCCTCACACGTTTCGTGGCCCCACAGAGAGCTCCACCGAAGGACCCAGTGCCACCGCCCGTATGCGTCACGCACACCCATTTCGGCACACCCCTCACACGTTTCGCGGCACCATAGGGAGCTCCACCGACGGCCCCAATGGCTGCGTTCGCATGTGCCCACCGCACCTATTTCGGCACCTCTCACGCGTTTCGTGGCCCCATTGGGAATTCTGGCCCCATGGGGAATTCCACCGACGGCCCCACTGGCTGCTTTCGCATGCGCCCACCAGACAATTTTTGACACACCCCTCACTCCGAATGCAGTGCTCACAATGACGGTACATCACAGCTGCATGCAACGACGGTGCTCACACTTGGGTCCTTCGCCAGGCTAATTTATCAGGGAAGGTCACTAGGCTCAAACTGCGTTGTTGGCCCCCGAACTACAACAACAACAACGGCTTCCGCCTGATACCTCCTCACAATTTATTCCAAAATCGCGCTCTCGCGCGGGACTTCGTCACAATTTATTTCGGATTCGCGCTGCGAGCAGATAAGAGCGAACAGTCTCAATCTGATTGTTGTTGTTGTTGTTGTTGTTGGTGTTGTGGTTGTTGTAGTTCTTGCTGTTCTTGTTGTTGTGGGTTCTCCCAACCATCCTTTGGTGTTGGGTCCTCGTTTTGAAGAGACAGCGCCCCGCGTTCCTCTCCTTGCTTTCCTTCCTTTTTCCTCCCCTCCTCCTCATCATCATCAGCATCATCATCATCACCATCATCATTCTCATTACCATCATCATCATCATCATCATCATCATCATCATCATCAGCATCATCATCATCATCATCAACATCAACATCAGCATCATCAGCATCATCATCATCACCATCATCATCGTCATCATCATCATCATTATCATCATCATCCTAACCACCATCATCATCATCATCATCACCATCATCATCATCATCATCATCATAATCATAATCATCATCATCATTATCATCATTATCATCATCATCATCATCATCATCATCATCATCATAATTATCATCATCATCACGAACCTCGTCATCACCATCATCGCCGTCATCATCCCCATCACCGCTCACACGCATCCTTGCCCCATAGTGAGCTCCACTCAAGGCCCCAGTGGCACCGTCCACATGCGTCCGCCACACCCATTTCGGCACACCCCGCACACGCTTCGTGGCCCCATAAAGGGGTCCCACCCGAGGCCCCAGTGGCACCGTTCACATGCGTCCGCCACACCCACTTCGGCACACCTCTCACACGTTTCGTGGCCCCACAGGAAGCTCCACCCAATGCCCCAACGGCACCGTCCACATGCGTCCGCCACACCCATTTCGGGACACCCCTCATACGTTTCGTGACCCCATAGGGAGCTCCACCCAAGGTCCCAGTACCACCGCCCGCATGCGTCCGCAACACCCATTTCGGCACACCCCTCACACGCTTCGTGGCCCCATAGTGAGTTCCACCCAAGGCCCCAGTGGCACCGTCCTCATGCGTCCGCCACAACCATTTCGGCTCACCCCTCACACGTTTCGTGGCCCCATAGGGAGCTCCACCCAAGGCCCCAGTTGCACCGTCCACATGCGTCCGCCACACCCATTTCGGCGCTCCCCTCAAACGTTTCGTTGGCCCCAGAGGGGGTTCCACCCAAGGCCACATTGGCACCGTCCACATGCGTCCGCAGCACCCGTTTTGGCACACCCCTTACACGTTTCGTTGGCCCCAGAGAGCTCCACCCGAGGCCCCAGTGGCACTGTCCATATGCGTTCGCCACACTCATTTCGGCACACCCCTCACGCGTTTTTTGGCCCCCTAAGGAGCTCCACCCAATTCCACATTGGCACCGTCCACATGCGTCCGCTACACCCATTTCGGCACACCTCTCACACGTTTCGTGGCCCCAGAAGGAGCTTTACCCAAGGCCCCAGTGGCACCGTCCACATGCGTCCGCAACACCAATTTCGGCACAGCACTCACAAGTTTCGTGGCCCCACAGGGAGCTCCACCCAAGGCCCCCGTGGCACCGTCCACATGCGTCCGCCGCTACCATTTCGGGACACCCCTCACACGTTTCGTGGCCTCATAATACTTAGCCCCACCCAAGGTCCCAGTGGCAACGTCCACGTGCGTCCGCCACAACCATTTCGGCACAACCCTTGCGCGTTTCGTGGCCCCATAGGGAGCTCCACCCAAGGCCCCAGTTGCACCGTCCACATGCGTCCGCAACACTCATTTCGGGACACCCCTCACACACTTCGTGGCCCTATAGGGAGCCCCACCCACGGCCCCAATGGCACCGTCCACATGCGCCCGCCACACCCATTTCGGCGCTCGCCTCAAACGTTTCGTGGCCCCGCACGGAGCTCCATCCAAGGCCCCAGTGGCACCGTCCACGTGCGTCCACCACAACCATTTCGGCACACCCCTCACACGTTTCGTGGC